CCCGGGCGGGGTGCTAAACGCTGGTCTGCGGGGCGGCAGCCGCGAAAGCGCCCTTTGTCTGGTTGTCGCCTCGTACGTTACGGGTTGCGATGGGCACTGCTAAGAAAAGTGGAGAATTTCCATAGATTATGAAACATCAAGTGGTTTCGCCCCCGACAAAAAGAGGGAGTCATAGCCCTGCGCAGAGGGAAGACAAGGTGCGTGGAAATTTTCCAGCCGCTGGCTCGGCGCGACGGGGGCGGCTGTGCGCGCTGACCCCACGCCTGGCCGGCGGCGGGGCGCGGATCGGGGCCCCTGCGCTTCTTGTTCAGGGAGGGAACCCCGACACTGCTTCCTCGGGGGAGGCAGCTGTCAGAGGTCAGGAAAGGCTTCACTGAGCGCTCCGTTTCCCGCACTTCATTTTGTCCAATCTGTGTTTGCTGAAAATATTCCTGCCCCTCACAACTGTGGGGAAGCATCTGGGTTTCTGAGTAAACTGAATAAAATTTGTGGGAAAGAAGAAATATTTTTGTGAATTGAAAATATCAGTTGAAATCCGTTTTATCTGTTAACTTGGTCTTCCACGGAAAGAGCCTTAAGGTGAAAGTGGACCCTGTTTTTATTTCCTCTGGGACAAGGAAGGAATCATGCAACATAGAACGACAGTTGCAATGAAAAAACAAGGTAGAGAGTTAAAATGAAAGTTGAATGGTCTCCCCTGTATCCCCTTATTTGTTAGTGTGTTTTTAGTTACTTGTCATGGTGGTTATGAGTAATACTGGAATCTTAGAATTTTAACTACCTTTTATTTTGTTGCCAATATATTCTGAACTTTTTTTTTTTTTTTTGGCCATGGTATTCATCTTTGGATGATGGCTCCTGCTATCCACCTTTTGGGTGAGACCCTTAAGCATGTTGTCTATTAGTCCAAACTTATCTCTACTGAAAGTCATGAAAAAAACAAACTCATTCTCCCTGAAGGGGTACCGTAAAAGTAAAGTGGATACCAGAGAAGTTAAGTAGGGGTGTAGGTTAGTTAGGAAGACTAATTTGTCAACCAAGGGAAAATAAGCCACTGTTAGTTTTATAGGGGAAGGGAAGGGTTTGTATGTTTTTCAGTGTCATGTCTTGCAAATGATGTTGGACTCCTTTCTTGTGCTTTCAGCTACAAAAGACCCCACAGCTGTAGAGAGAGCAAACTTGTTAAACATGGCTAAACTGAGCATCAAAGGGCTCATTGAATCTGCTCTCAGCTTTGGCCGGACTTTGGATTCTGACTATCCTCCCTTGCAGCAGTTCTTTGTTGTTATGGAGCATTGCTTGAAGCACGGTCTTAAAGGTATCATGAGATTTTAAAAAATTAACTCCTAGATCAACCCCTTCCACCCTCATCTTAACTATCCTTGAAAATGTGATTTTTTTTTTTTTTGAGGCCATAATTATTGTTACTTTACATTTTAAAATACTTGGTGGGTTGGTTTTGGGAGAAAATATCCTACTGCTTTATGTTTCGAAATGGGTGGTCTTAGAAAATGCTTACTTGTAAATGTTTGGTTTAAAAGCATATTTAATTTTAAAAATTTTCAACATACTCTGAATTGGTTCCCATTTTCTAGGACATTCATAGTGTTATTTTAAAAATGTTAAGTTTGGTGATTCTGATATGAATTCTTCTTCCTAGTTTGAGCTCTGCTGAACAGATACATTAAAATAGTTGATCGTTGAAATGTAACCTCCTTAGCACATGGGAACATATCTAGAAAAACTGTCTTCAGAATTGGTTATCGTAGAAGTGTGAGTGCTCCCTGAAAATGATGATAATAGTGAATATTCTTCTATACAGGTCATACTAAATTATGTTATGTGCAAAATATTTGTATTAGATTTAGTTATTTAACATATGTTGTGCAATAACTATTCTTTTACTTATAATAGCTACTTATAATAACAGTTGTTGACAGTTTTGGTCTCTAATCCATGTAATCAGCAGCTGTGTAGAGGGCTATAAGAGAAAGAGTTGTTTACTAAGGTGACTATTATAAAGCAAAAGAAGCTTAGTTTCTTGTTTGTACTAGGAACCTGGGTAGGTTGAGAGAGCTTAGAAGTTCTGACTGTGGTACATGAAAGTGTGGGTTAATGTAAACAGCAAAAGAGGAGGTTTATCTAAACATGGTTCTAATAAAATGTATTTCAAACTGAGAAGGAGCCTTGGCACCAAAATTTGATTAGTTCTATGTGATGTTATTAATGTACTCATTTCTTTTTTAAAAAGTTTATTTACTTATTTTTATTGAGATATACTTGACATATAACATTATATTAATTTCAGGTATACAACATAATGATTTGATATTTGTATATCTTGTGAAATGATCATCACAAGCCTAGTAAACATCTATCACCACACATAATTTAAGTTTGTGGTTTTTTTCTTGTAATGAGAACTTTTAAGATTACTTTCTTAGCCCAGCCGGGCGTGGCTCAGCGGTTTAGCGTCAACCTAGGATCCAGGCAATCAGGGTTCAATTCCCAGTCAGGGCACGTGCCCGGGTTGTGGGCTCGGTCCCTGGTCAGAGGTGTGCAGGAGGCAGCCTGTCAATGACTCATCATTCATGTTTCTTTCTCTCTCCCTTTCCTTTCCTCTCTCTGAAATCAATAAAGATATATTAAAAAAAAAAGATTACTTTCTTAGCAACTTTCAAATATAATACAGTATTATTTATTTAAAAGTTTACATATTTTCCTCTTGTGTCTTATGTTGGCATACATCGAAGAGAAGATCAGAAGCAGCAAAAGTGGGGTAGATTGGCAGCTAAGAGCAACTCATCAGGAAACAGTCAAAAGGGTCTCCTATTAAAATGCAGCAACTTCTCATTTTTGATGTGGTTTTTCATATAAACTTCTTAAATGTGATCATCATCATATACTTCTGCAGACAGTGAATATCTAATTATGGTAATTGTATACAGTACAGTATTATTAACTATAGTCATCATGCTGTACATTACATCCTCATAATTTATTTTATAATGGCAAGTTTGTACTTTTTGACCATCTTAATTTATTCCGCACCTACCTTACCCTCTGCCTCTGGCAATCACCAGTCTCTTCTCTGTATCTATGAGTTGTTGTTTTTTAAATATTCTACTTTTTAATTAAAGCCTTAAGACAATTTTTTAAAATTATGTAAATAGTAGAGAAATACACTCTTTGTACATGAATAAAATAATATAGAGGCACGCAGAGCAAAAACATAGTTTCCCTTCATTCTCTTCTGTAAAGGGAATCCTTGTCATTCTTCTACTTCTTTTCTGTGTTTTTTTCTTTTACTCTAAATAGAGTTCTGCTATAAGTGCTACTCTGTAACTCCCCCCCCCCCTTAAAAAAACACACAAACTTGATGGTATGCATGGTTTGGAGATCTGTCCATGTACATAGGTGTTCTTATCACACTTACAATGGTTGTATAATATTTCATAGTATATGTGTACCATAACTTTAAAAAAAATAGTATTTACTTATTTTAATCCTCCCCTGAGGATGCTTTTTCCATTGCTTTTCAGAGAGAATGGAAGGGAGAGACAGAGACAGAGAGAGAGAGAGAGGAACATGGATGTGAGAGAGACACATTGATTGGTTGCCTCCCGCCCCCGCCCCGACCAGGGCTGGGGATGGAACCTGCATCCGAGGTATGTACCCTTGGCCAGAATCAAACCGGGACCCTTCAGTCCACAGTATGACAGGTCTAACCACGGAGCCAAGCAGGCTCGGGCTATACCATAGCTTTTTAACTACTCTCCTCTTAATGTACACTTAGACTGTTTCGAATTTTTTACAATTAAAATTGTGCTGTAAGAACATCTTTGGGCAGATATGTTTGTGCACATGTGCTAGGATCTCTTTAGGATTCCTAGGTGTAGAATTACCAGGTCAAAACAGGCAACTGGTATCTATGAACACTTCACTAATTTATCAAACAACAGTGAATGTGAGTGTTTGTTTCCCCACATTTTTGCCTACTCTTGATATTTTCAGTCTTTTTGAAAAGTTCCTTTTTAAAAAAATAACAGTAACTTACATTTTAATTTTCCCCCCAACCTTCTGAAATGGAACTTTCCAAAACGTGGCCAATATAATTAAATTTTAAACTCTTTTCTGAATTTATTTTCCTTTACTTCACAAAATATCACGAGGCATGTCCTAACAGTCACAGGTTCATTTTGATGAATCATTTTAAAGCTACTTAGTGCTGATTGACTTTTCTCCCCCAAGGAAAAGTTGCCTATCTTCATGATTTTTCCAGGGGTGGTGCATATGATAGGCACACTGGATCTGCAGGAGAGCTGGTCAGTCTCAAGAAAGAAACAGTGATTTCATGGTTTTCTATAACCCAAATCTCAGAAGAAAATAAATGGAAAAGTAAAGCCACAATTTTCCATGTTTAAAATTAAAATAACTTTTTATTTGTCCTTGGTTAATTTAATAAACTGATAAAAATCAGCCTTCTAGGGTGGCCATTTTGTTACTGGTAAAGAATGAGCCCAGCTGTTTTTTTACTGTAATTACGTGCCTGCATATTTCTGATAAGGACAGATATCAGGATCCTGATTAACAGGCTTTTCTTGATCAGCAAGGCTGTGTAGTAATAAAAGTGGCAAGGTCTCTGAATAATTGAATGTTGTTAGAAATGTTGAAACTAAATATTTAAAAGGAGGTTACTACAGTTATATACATATGCTGAAGTCATATGCATTATATTTTCTTTTTTCAGTAAGAAAATCATTTTTGAGTTACAACAAAACTATCTGGGGTCCTTTGGAACTGGTGGAGAAGCTGTACCCGGAAGCAGAGGAAATAGGGGCCAGTGTCCGGGATTTACCTGGTCTTAAGTAAGGAATCTATTTCTTGTTCATCCCTAACCACAGAAGTATATTTACTGTTCCTTAAAAGTATCTCACATTCTAGTTTATCTTCTCTCAGCCTTAAGTAGCCTTCTTTCATTCTCTCCTAATAAAATTCTGTTCATTCTTTAAGTTCAGCTCAAATTTCATTTCTTTCATGTTTTTTTTCCTAGCCCCTTCAGTAAGAATTAACTGCTTTTTTTTTTTTATACTCTTATTACTATAGTCATTCCTTTATTATATCACTTCAATTCTGCATTGTAAGGCAGGAAATTGCAAGTCCTTTTACAGTAGGATGTATCAATTATGCATTTCTGTTTCCTGAGTGTTAAGCTATTTTGCAGTGTAGGCAGCCAGTAACAGTTTGTTGGAGACTGATTTAGGCTAAATCCAGGTAAAGGCTCAGGAGGTTTGAGTTCTCAGATAAGCCATTTATATAACATAAGACATGTGCAAATTACTTTCTTCCTCTGACAATTAGGACCTACAGTGTCCCCTGTCTATTTCACTGGACAAATGTATATAAAATGTCCTAAAAGCTGAACATTCTAGCTAATGACTCACGAGTGTCGAAAATTTTTTGCAGGTATAAAGTGTCATTAAGACTAAGGTCTACACTCATCAGGGTATGAGTAAGATGCAAGAGCTCCCTTTAGTTTGTCTTAATTCTTGTGAATGAGATAACTTTTTTTGTGCTTAGCATTTCCTGTCAGATCATCCATTTGCTTTCTTCTAGACAGGTTTACAATTGAAGGTTTGTATGTTGTAGGGAATGCGAAAGTGTTTTCTGGCTCTCACAACATCCATGTTTGCAAGTTGTACTTAATCGAGTGATAAAAGTAAGCAGCTACTATTGATTAAGCACTGTTTTAGGGTAATAAGATAATTTTGCATGAATTATCTCATTTAGTGCTTAAATCAGTCTTATAAGGTAGAGATGATTATTATCATTATAATTGTATAGATGTAAAAAATAAAGGTTAGAGAAAATATAATAAGTAGCAGAGCCAGGATTCAAACCAAGTTTCTGGAGTTAAATAGCAAGTGATATTACACTTGATGTCTCTTATTTTTATTCATGTAAAACTTTTTTTGTAGTTTACTGTTTTATTTGAGTTTTCAATTACAGTTTACATTCAATATTATTTTGTATTAGTTTCAGATGTACAGCATAGTGACACTTGATATTTTTTATAATGGTAGATTAGGTGTAGTGATTTTTAACAATGACGGGGAAAAGGGAATTTCAACTTTTTTTTTTTAATCCTCACTTGATATGTTTATTGATTTTTTAGAGAGAGGAAGGGAGAGAGAGAGAAAGAGAGAGAAAAACATTGATGTGAGAAAGAAGCATTTATTGGTTACCTCTCCTACATGCCCCAACTGGGGATTAAACCTGAAACCAGGAATCGAACCCAAGACCTTTGGGTGTACAGGATGATGCTCCAACCAGCTGAGCCACACTGGCCATGACAGGAATTTCAACTCTTAAAAAGGGAAATATAAGATTTGGTTTCATTTGAACATGAAAACACATGTTCATATTGTTTTTAAAAAGCCAAAATCTACAAAAGTAAAAAATGTTTTCTGAAGAATAGTATTCATTAAAATGCTAAACCATAAGAAACTGTAGCTGTTAGAAGTGAAGATTAAGTTTCCTGTTATACTATCTGCCAAAATGTTCTCTGAATAAGAAAACATAAAGTGTAAATGATATCTTTCTCTTTAATAAATCATACATATTCTGTAAAACTTGCTTTTATTTTACTAAATGATAGAACTTGGATAAGAGAGACATGAGATTTAATATTTAAGGACAATTGGATAAAAGAAACATTTGAAAAAATAGCAAGAAGCCTGGTGATTTCTCTCTAATTAATTTCCAGCTTGGTACCTTCTTAGCTTTGTTATGATTTTTTTACATTTGGGTACAATGTCAGTTATTTTTTGAAGGCATTATACTGCTGTATTGATGCATTTCACATATTTACTGTATAGAAGATTTCATCTGACAAAAGATTTCTTGTAGAAATATTCTCACCTTTTAGAGAGTCATTTCTTTCAAGGCATAAAATGGTACCTAGACGTCCTACAGGTGCAGATTTACTTTAGAGACTTAAATAGCTCACAGGGATTGATGTGCATGCTCAAAGAGCTGGCTTAAAACTATAGTTATGAGGACAAAACCATAACAAATTGCCTTTTTTTCCTGTATTAACGTGTACCTCAACAGAAATAGAACAAGTCTATTTTCTTTGGGCTGGGACTATTTTCTTACCAATTGGTTTTACTTTTTAGGACCCCTCTGGGTCGAGCAAGAGCATGGCTTCGATTAGCCCTCATGCAGAAAAAAATGGCTGATTACCTTCGTTGCTTAATTATTCAAAGGGATCTCTTGAGGTTAGTATGTTTATTTTATTTTATTTATATCCTGTCTTCCAAAAAGCATTGAAGATGTAGTTAAAAAAGGATTCATAAAATACAGTAAGATGCCATAAAATAAAAGGAGCAGCAAAATGAGTGAGAAAATCCTGGTGGAGACCTAACATTGATTAGTAACTAAACTATAACATGAATCTTGCAAGCTTTTTAATCCGCTGGTAAGGGGGGAATGTATATTTCTAAGTTTCATTTTTTTAAGCCTAATATACATATTTTTTCTAAATTACAGTTAATTCTATGAATAAAAATACATAATGGGATTTGGGGCTTTAATTCAAGGGGTCTCTTTTAGATCTTGACTATCCAAACTATTGCTTTGACTATTGTGGGCCTTTTTTAAAGTATCAGTTTAAATTGAAGGCCAAATGGTTAAGAGAGACTTTCAAAGCCAGGTAATCAGTTCTCAAAGGGAGTGGGCTCATGGTAGCCCCTCCATTCACCCTTGATCTTTATTTTTATTATTATTTATTTATTTTTTGTTAATCCTCACCCTCACCTGAGGATATTTTTCCTTTTTTTTAAAATTTTTAAATTTTTTATTTTTTAAAATATATCTTTATTGATTTTAGAGAAAGGAAAGGAGAGAGAGAGAGAGAGATAGAAACATCAATGATGAGAGAGTCATTGATCGGCTGCAGCCCGCAACCGCGGCATGTGCCCTGACCGGGAATCGAACCCTGATCGCCTGAATCCGGGAATCGAACCCTGATCGCCCGAATCCCAGGTCGACCTGCCACCTCTGAGCCATGCCCAGCCGGGCCCCTTTTTTTTTTTTTTTTT